TCTGAAAGGTAGCTCACCGTTGCTTTCGATGCAGGATTAAACCGAGGGGAGCAGAGATGGTTGGGGAATGGGAGAGAAGAGATCTTTAACATCTACATTAAAACTTTCAGCCTTTCACACTGGTGAAGAAGGAAGACCAGTGAAGCTGAACTATGGTGGGAAGGAAGTAATGGCTGGCCGCAAGTCGGCAAGCCAGAGTGGAAAGGCTCAAAAGGTTGCCGCGTCGCTCATAGGTGGCGGTAGCTGTCCAGAGTTTTGTGTCATCGTTTGTTTGCTGACGGACACGATCCTGGGGAAATTAGCCCTTAACAGCTCCGCTGTAAAAAAACATGTGTGTTCACATGTTGAGCTTCTACATTCGCTGTGACCCTGGTATTGTTCACCGTAATTCGTTGTCTCGTTTTCTGCAAAAAAAAAAAAGACAAAAAATAGTTTTGGCTTTTTTGTTTTAGCTTACGTCAACGCGCATCGGGCAATCGGCGGTGCTTTGTTATTCTGAAAACAACCATTAAAAAAAACGCTGGCGAAAGCAGTTTCCTTTTTGTGATTTCACAGCAACTATGCGTTCGTGCCAAATGGCACGAACGCATAGTTGCTGTGACGTCACAAACCGCGGACCTCAAGGAGGCCCGCGGTAGTAGACCGCTGTCGACGCGCGCCGCTGATTTCTGAATGGCAAAGCATAACTCCCCACGTGACCTAACTATGTCATGGGTTCTGAATAAATTTAAACGTGTCATCATTTTAATAAACCTAAGGAATACATGAGTGTGTCGTGCATGCAACGCGTCTAAAACCACGCAAAGCATTCCGTAATCGAGCATAACAAATTACAAAGCACGCATAATTCTTTAATGTTTTTTTGTTTGTTTTTTTAATTTCTTGTGGACTACCACAGCAAGTGACCCGAGGTTATGCATGTAAGGAACATTTTGTACTCCGAGAGTTTGACCGAGACAAGCTAATTTGCGTTGCTTTTACCAGTTGAACTTTCACGTCGGGGTTCGACCACAGTCGGCCGTCGCGTGTATAGGAAGCAGTGTTGTACGGAACGGCGTTCCAAGGAACGACGTTACTGGAACGCTTTTTATTTAAAAGGAACGAAGGAACGCCGCCGTTCCATTTCGCATCGGTGGAACTAAAACTCGTTACATTTGTACTGGAACGGAAAAAGGAACGGCGTTCCTTTTTTTTCCTCCAGTGGGCTAATTTTTATTTTATTTCCTAAGAGGGAAGTTTTAAAACTACGAAAACAATATTTTTACGAAGAGCAGGATCTCATTAACTTTTTGGTTATTTATCTTAGGGTTTATTTTGTGTGGTCCTCGCTTGATAACAGAAGGGTGCAGGAAAGCTAGTGGACATTGATTCTCTTTTCCGTGCCCGAGACTGCGGTACAAAAAGCAAATATTTCAGTCGAAGAAAAAGACACAGAAAAAAGGGCGTTTTAAACTCAGCTACTTTCTTTGCTTTCACGAATCCTCATACAATCAGAAATCTAAGGCCGACTACAGCCGTCACTGAACTTCCACAAAGAGACCTACAGTTACAACAAAATAACAGGTTACCAGACATCGAACGCACCCTTGTATCCCGAACATTAGTCACTGGAAAGGTACATAAAGATTAACCTTTATTCTCTCTTTCCTTCTCCTACACCTTAAAACTGAACAAATAAACTAACCTTCACGAAGAACTTGTAGTTTTCAAGACTGAACTTCCAAAAAGCTCTACCCTCTTCTTCACTTGTTCGTCTTGCGGACATCAGCATCGAGAAGCAACTGTTGTTAAGTTCGAACAAGGGACTTTGTTAGACTGAAACGCGTGAGGCTGTTGTATGACGCTCGTGCAATATTGGGTAACAGTACATTTGGCTTGTCTGAATCGCCCACCACAAAAATGAATATGGTTAAAAGCTGATATTTTCAAAGGTGAACATATCAACAAATAAACCCTCCATGCTCCAGCTTCTTTTCTTCTCCTGGTGCCCTGCCATCACGGCATTCGAATTTTTATGTTCCCATTTAATGCGATAGATAAAAAAAACACCTTTGCTTAATCTAACTAAATATGGTAATCAGCAAGATTCAAATGTAACGTATATGTAACGATGCGTTCCAATTTTTAACTGTAACGGGAACGAGTTCCTTTGTAACAGAAACGCGTTTCAAAAATCAGGAGGAACGAGGAACGAGCTTTCTTTCCTTTTTTGAGGAACGTGTACAGCACTGACAGGAAGTGATTTTATGTCGTCTTCAGCAAGAGCTGTGGGTAAAGTAGCTCGCCGTCTGCCATGAACATCATCAGTCCGGGTGATAAGAACGGAGTCCGATAAATGCTTGCTGTCTGCCCGCGCTTGACCACAGAACGTACCGCTATGGCAGCCAGTAAATAAACTTTGTCGCATCATCATCATCACACTCTAAAAAAAGCCCGTGAGTCTGCTTTCCCGCACGACACTCGGAGAGCCAATCACCGCAACTTAGGGAGGGAGCTCAGCGAATGACGATGCCGAAACATATGTTTAGACCAAAAAACGCAGTCTGAGTTGTGACATTAAGCAATGCAAGCGTGACGTTTTGCATTGCTTAATGTCACAACTCAGACTGCGTTTTTTGGTCTAAACATATGTTTCGGCATTGTCATTCGCTGAGCTGCCTCCGTAAGTTGCGGTGATTGGCTCTCCGAGTGGTGTGCGTGAAAGTAGACGCACAAACATTTTTTAGAGTGGTGAACTTTAAAGGGTCAATAAAACGATATCAGGTTGGAATGTTCGTGACTTTACAGAGGTGTAGTGAACCTAGACTGGCCCAACTCTATTTCGCACGGACCGCCACTGATTCAGACGCTTATTGGTCTTGGTGAAATTGCGAGGATAAAAGGGGAGCATAGTAGTAAACCCGAGACTGGGGATACGGACAAGGGACAAAACACAGAACGACATAGACGTGTCGTTCTGTCACCATTGCTTCAATAAAAGGGGACTTTTTTTTTCGGTCTTGCCTTCGCAAAGCTTGATGACGTAATTGTGAAATCGAAAACACCTGCCTGACGACAGTCGAGGGCTGCTCATGGACTAAACACGAAAACTGCGAGAGCGCTCGACTTCGACTCGTTACAATCAGTTATTTGGCGAACGTAAACCGCGGGTAGGGACACACCCAAAAGCGGTGATTGCTGAGAGACAAAAACGTTTATTCGCGCGCTTTTGGTTGCGACTACAGAGGGTTGGCGGCGCTGTTGTGCCGGTAATGCGTATAACGATCCCGCTGGCCACATCTCCCTTTTCTTTAATAAAAGAAAACAAGTCTGGAGCTAAGGCTCTGCTCAGTCACACTTTATGTAGCGACGTGGCTTGCGGGGCTGCCTTGACTTGAGCCTTGAGCAGGGTACGGAGATTCTCATCTTGGTTCGTTGCCCGCTTGATCTGCTCTAGTCTTTCTGCAGAGACTGTCAGCTCTTGGATCACGTTCACTTGGAAGTGTTCTTCCTCTGGCACCTTCTCTTTCGATGGAAACCGAGACGCGCGTCTGCGATGAACATCTCGTTTCCCGGCTTGTACTTTATCTCAAGTGAGTACTTCTGTAGAGTCAGGCGCATTCTTTGCGGACATAGCGGACACTGGTGAAGTGGTTTCCTGAAGATCGCCTGGAGAGGGCGGTGGTCACTTTCCACCAGCATGTACAGCTGAGCGAAGACGTAGTCGTGAAAGCGTGTGCAGCCAAGCACAATAGCTAGCATCTCCTTTTCAATTTGTGCATATCTCTCTTGCACTTCAGTCAGTGAGCGAGGAGAGTAGGCGAGGGGGTGTCCGTTCTGCAGGATGACAGCTCGTACTCCTCGTTGGCTAGCATCTCCCTGCAACACAAGGGTCTGCGTCTTGTCGTAGTATGCCAGGACCGGTGCCTGTGATAGGGCTGTCCGAAGACGCTCAAAGCTTTATCGTTGGGAGCTAGTTCAGACCCATGCGTTGCCCTTTTTCAGCAGGTCTCGCAGAGTTGTACTTACCTCTGACAGGTTCGGGAGAAACCTGGCAACGAAGTTCACCATTCCCAGGAATGTCTTCAGTTCCTTTGCAATCTCTGGGACCTGAACTGCAAGGATGTCCTCTGCTCTGTTCAAGTCGATCGAGAGTCATTTGTCGGTTAGCACAAAGTCGAGGTAGTGTACCTCCGCTTTGAAGAAGTGCCACTTGGCCAGGTTCAGCTTGAGGTTCACCTCTTGGCACCGTTGCAAGACATTTTGTAGACGTCTGTCGTGCTCTTCTTTTGTGGAACCCCACACCAGTATGTCGTCCATGAACATCTCGACGCCGTCGAGACCTTGGAGCGCCTGGTGGATTGCTCTCTGGAAGACTTCTGGGGCCATGGCAATTCCGATCGGCATCCGGAAGAATCTGTATCTTCCGTAAGGCGTGCTCATGGTGCACAAATACGAGCTGGGGTTGTCAAGTCGAATCTGCCAAAATCCTGTGGCAGCGTCTAATGTAGAAAAGTACTTGGCACTCTCGATATTTGTGACTATGTCCTCTAGCGTCAGCATGTGGTAATGCTCTCTCTTGAGCGCTTTGTTGAGGTCAACTGGGTCCAAGCATATTCTTATCTTGTCTTTCTTGACCACAACTACCATCTGGCTAGCCAATTCAGTCGGTTCGGTGATGAGGGTTATCACTATATTTTCTTCCATTCGGTCGAGTTCAGCCTTGACCTGGTCACGGTGGGCAAGCGTGGCGCTACGGGCTGGCTTAACTACACCTTGCGATCCTTGGTGCAGTTTTATGTGGTACACCACCCCACGTAGTTCACCTAGGCCCTTGAAAGTATCTTCGAACGGTCGTGCCGCTTCGTAGAGTTGGCCCTCTACTGTCACTGTGGCAACAAGTTTGATGAGGCCTAGCTCCTGGGACAGTTCACCACAAAGGGTTGTTTGCACCGGCTCTTGCACAACGAAAAACTGTGCCCGAGCAGCCTCGTGTTCGCTGGACACTTGCAGGGTCACCTTTACGGTTGCTTTTTTTTTTTCTGGCCGAAAAATGTGTTCAGTAGTGCGTTCCTTTGCTCCAATTCCTTGTGTGTTAACGCCTTCAGTTGCTTGAGGGAAATCACTGAACAGTTTGCTCCTGTATCCAAGTTGCACACCACTGGCTTGCCTTCAACATTGATCTCGGCTTTCCAAACTCCACCTATGTGCGTGTAGCTCGACGAGACGGCAAGCAGAGAGCAACTTTCTTCAGATTCCAGGCTGTCAACTTTCCAGGTTTTCACCTGTCCGGCGCCTCTCTTGTTCGGCTTCTTTGATCGGCAGACGCTCCCGAAATGGTTGAGTTTGTCGCACTGCTTGCATTTCTTGCCTTTTGCGGAGAATGCTTGGTTCTTGTGGTACGCGTAACCGCACTTCGCGCACGCTTTGTCCTTCTGTACGAAGTTGATGTCTTCAGTGCTGTCCTGGCGCTTGTCGGCGTTACCGCGGCCTACTTGGGTCGTTTTCCGTATCTCTTCTACCTGCTCCTTGATTTTCTCTCGCGTGCGACAAATTTCCACGAGCTTGCAGAAATCGGGGTGCTCGTTGATCAGATGGCTTTGCAACCGCTTGTCCTTTATGCCTAGGATGATGCGGCTTTTCAACATCCTCTCCTCGAGCTGCCCGTACTCGCAGTTCCGGATGAGCGTACGAAGCTTCGTCAGCAATTCATCGAAGCGTTCTCCCGACTTTTGGTCTCTTGTGCCGAAAACGAAGTCGTGGTACGCAAGGTTAATGACGGGCTTGCAGTGCTCCTCAAATGTTTTGAAGAGCTTGTCTACGTCGTCGCGATCCTCTTCTGTTTCGAAATTGAACGTGCGGAAGATCCTCCGTCCCTCTTCGCCGATTACGACCAAAAACGTTGCCGCTTGAATTTCTTTAGGCTTCGTTGCGAGCCCGGTCGCAGTCGCGTAGAGCTTGTACTCACTCGCCCAAAGTTTCCATGCCACCCAAATATCTTGCGACGTATCCAGGGGCTTCGGGGCTGGTAGCACGGATTTCCCGTTTCCCGCTGTCGCTGTTGTAGCCATTGCAGCGGCAGGGTTGCGCGGCTGTTCGGCGAAGGCTGACCGTTAGGCCTTTTGAGATTAAGCCTACTTCGCCGGGTTCTTTGTGTCTTCTGACACCATGTAAACCGCGGGTAGGGACAGACCCGAACGCGGTGATTGCTGAGAGACAAAGACGTTTATTCGCGCGCTTTTGGTTGCGACTACAGAGGGCTGGCGGCGCTGCTTGTGCCGGTACGGTAATACGCATAACGATGCCGCTGGCCACAGCGGACACTCGGGTAGTGGCTCGTGTCCAACCACTGGCATGCGTTTTCTACTTTTTCGACCCCAGCGCCTGGCTATGACTAACGGTCACGGCATAGGATATGCACCAGGCCACGTGGCCGCTTGTTGTGGCTCCGAGTTCAGGGGATGAACGATTCTTGCATCTCTTGAATTTATTTGCCGACTGTCACTGCTTAGAAAGAAAAACGAAGGCAAGTTTATTCGTATATTAACGTCAGGGAGGGATTCTGAGTAGCATTGAGTGAAAGCAGGAAAATCGTTTCATGGCTCCTTTAAGCAAAGCTTGACCATGGCGTCATCGCATTATGTTGGTGTACTTCCTAACTTTTCTTGCCGAGGAGAAAAAAAAAGATAAGGGTTGCGAAATTCATGCCACAGTGCCTCAGTACGTGCTTCGCCAACACAACCAATGCTTCAGAAAGCACAATAATAAAGAACAAAACGTTTAATTCCTTGCGGAACGTAACTAATTTTACCCCTCATGAGTTGAATAGGCCTTTTGCTATATTACCCAAGCATCAAGGAGAATGCAGGGATTGGTGTTCCACGCGGCGCACGCGCTGGCCTCAGCAGTAGTAAATTTTCGAAAGCAAATACCTAAAACAAATGGCATCTTGCACGCGCGTTCGTCAACGCTTTATTTTGGATATTTACTTCGAATCTTTTATACGGGGAAGGCGTGCGCGTGTGGCGCGTGGAACACCAATCCCTGCATTCCCCTTGATGCTTGGGGAATATAGCAAATTGTCTATAAAGCTATTGGTAAATTACCCAAGCATCAAGAAAAATGCTGGAATGGATGCACACGGGCCACACCCGCACGCCTTCCTCGTATAAAAGATTCGAAGTAGATAACCAAAATAAAGCGTTGATGAATGCGCGTGCAAGATGCTATTTGTTTTAGGGATTTGCTTTAGGAAAGTTACTACTGCTGACGCCAGCACGTGCAGCGTGTGCTGCACGTGCTGCACGCGTGCAGCACGCGCAGCACGCACGCAGCACTCTCAGCATATACTGATTGGTGCTTGGGTAATTTAGCAAAATGAATGCTAGGACATATGCAGCCACATCTTCAATTAGTTTTCTGTTATTTTATCAATAAGACGTACACTGTTTCGAACGCCAAAGGCAGGCACCGTTTCTTTTCTCGACAATCAAAACATGTAGGAACTCCTTCGCGCAGCGCGTGAATGTGCCCAAAACTTTCTTTGTTTTCTCGTGATGTGTCAGCAAGTCTAGAATACTTAAGCCTGCGCACTAGAATCATGACGTCATCAAAGCGAGATCGAGCGAAGACACTGATTGGACACGAGTGCAGCGCCAGCGTTCGGCTCGGCCTCGTGTCCAGTCAACGCGTTGAAGGACGCTGGGCATCGGGCTCGGGTCCGGTGGCTGAGTTGTCGTCATCCGAATGTGACGGTGGAGGAAGAGGAGGACGTTCGCAGGTTTTGATCATTCTAGGTGGCGTTGGCTTAGCAGAAAGGCCATCACGATTGGCCGCCGACTTGACGTTTAACGCCTGTCGTGTATCTGCGCGCACCCGTTGCCCTAACATGTTCGTTGACTCGGGCGAATGCACACGATGATGCGCGACCAAGGCGTGGCGCTTGCTCCAGCTTATACGTCTGTATCTTTTGCAGGGGTTGTGATAACGCCAGAACGCCGAGTTCTGATTTGCTCTGATTGAAGGATAGTGAGTAAACCTCAAGGCAGCTTGGTTTCAGGTCTGCCCACTATCCTTCGATCAGAGCCACTCAGAGCTCAGCGTTCTGACGTCACTAGGTCACCTGCAAAATAAGCGGACGAACTTGCGCTCCGCACACGCCAACTATACTACCTGGCGTCACGCCACTGCGGTGGCGCTGCTGTCGGCACTGCGCATGCGCAGATGCTTCATCTCACGCCAATCTGATATCTGTGCAAGCGCGGTAAGCAAACGCAAGCTTGTGTGTAAACAGCGTGGCGGTGTGTGTACTGCGGCCTTGACAGCGTGTCCAGTAACACAATCACGAGTACTGCGCTGTCAGTTGTGTGTGTGTCGCAAAGACGCGAAAAAGCACATGAACAAAAACAAACGAATGGGGTCAAGCCGACATGCAGCGTTCCAGCTTTGACTGCCGGGCATACAAACGACTGTTCGGCAGTAAATATTTGAACTGCAGACGCTCATCAGAAAAACACAAACACGCACGCATGCACGCACGCCCGCACACACACTCACACATACCTACACAGATGCGCGCGCAGAGTTCGTGACATGTGTCGGAACAGACCAGACGATTTCGTTTTACTGTTGTTTCTGCCTTCAAAAATTAATCCCTGGAAATTCGTGGAAACCGCGTGGTGAAAGATTGCATTTACCGACGATTAAAACAATATTTTCGAGGCTTTAATTGCTCGGTCTTTCCAAGTGGCAGGCGGCAGTGTTGAATAGCTAATTTGATAAGCCGCGAGTATTCCGGAATTATAATGCAATCATTTCTAAACGAACTCGCGAGAAAAAAAAAAGAAAGTTAATAAGGCTTTGCTGTGTCTCGTTTGCGCTATCCCTGTCAAAAAGCAAACGCTTTGATTCAATCCAGTCCCTTCGTCGAGCAAAAAAATAAAAAAAAAATAAAATGTATCTTTATTTTTTTAGTTGCGTCTTTAAAACGTCCGACTTTTAATCGTTCGTTTTCCCGCGAGACAGGTTTTCGCAGACGTTATAAGGGAATTTTAGCATAGCTTTATCGTACAATTCCGCTGCGGTTACAGCCTTATGCCAGAGCAGGGCAGGGAACATGTACCGTTAAGACAACGTTCTTTATTCCTAATAAAGCGTACAAAACACAGTCTGCGGACAGTTTCTGAGGCGTGTATCTTTCTTATATGACGGTCAGATTGGCCAAACGCGTCTGCCATGTCGGCAGACGCGTTTGAAGCCCAAATACGCATGAAGCAAACATGCTCGTGACCTGCTTGAGGCGTGCCCACAAATACTTTTATCATCGTGTCTGCATCGAACACCGTGTCTTTCGTATGATGTACGAGCAGTGTGACTGCACACTCGAAAACAAAGGGTGTAGGACTTCCTTCCTTAAGGTGTAACCCCACCATGCATGCCATTTTGCTTCATGTTTGGCGGGTTATAACTTTCTTTCTATGTATTCTACACTCATAAAGCCAATGTTAAACTAAACAAATATTGTTTCGCTATACTTTAATGTCTCGATATCAAGTCTGTTTTAGTAGTTAATTTATTATTTAAAAAAAAAGTGTTTTGTGTCTTTTTATACAGCATAGAACTTGGTCTGCCTCAGTGAACGACGAGTCTTTTAGCTGTAGATGATGCTCACCCAGATCGAAACGAGCAGGGGTGGGGATTGAACCCAGGATCCTGGGTTCTGCAGCCCGAGCTTTCGCTCCACATGCTCCGAGCTGGTGTGCGCTAGCCTAAGGGTTTTTTTTTTGTTGTTGTTGTTCTTGATGTTTTTTTGTGTTTTTTTTTTTTTTTTTTTTTGTACAACCCGATGCCGACAGCACGCGCTCACGGGTAAAATACAAAAAAAAATCGACGAAAACAAAATGTTGCCATAGCACAGTCAGCGCCACAAACGCGAGCAAGGACACGCTCTTTCACGTGCTTAAGAAAGAAAAATAAAACCGTGGGTCGAAATGGCCAGATGTCTCCACCCTAAGCAAAGCGCACATGAAGGCACGCTACGCTAGCCAACTCGGCCATCAATCCCCCTTTTATTTATTATTTAACTTTTATTAGACCGCAGTTTTTTTTTTATATTGGACATATTTTGTCTCGACGTATAACGTCCCATGTCCACGATCATTTACTTGAATGGTTTGTTCGATACAATGAAGTAAAAAAGTAGGCAATTAACCGCACAAAAAATGTACAAATTTAGATAAAAAATAAAGTTTAAAATGGTGTTATTTCCTCATGCTATAAAAACGGAATCACGTCAAGTAACGAAAATAACAAGACATTAAATTGTGAAGCATATTTCGATAGTACATTTTCCAGAAACGGCATATCGATAGATTACACGTAAAGTTCAGTGTTCAATCACAAACTTCTGCCATTCAGCTACGGCAGGTTGCAGTTTTTTTTAATATCAAGTACAGATAACGACACGTGTTCAAGAGTAACTTGATATGAATTTGTCGTCATGTGCCGCTTGGAACGCCACGTGAGAGACAAAAATGTCACCAGATGTGTCGACGTCAGGTGCCTGGATGCCCAAGGTGAGCGAGCCAGACCATAGCCTGCTCTATACTGACACAACTCTATAGGGAGTATTCACTGGACGCCATATTTGTGGGTGCTGTTTAGAGCGCATGCTCACAACGAACTCACATCAATAGGCTGCTAAGACCGGCACTCTTGATGGTGTGGAATGCACGTTGCAAAAGAACTGTGGAAGCTCGCCTTCAGCACGCGCTCAGCATTGACGCACACAGCTATGGCCGCCAGTGAATACTCCCTATAGTGAGTATAGAGGAGGCTATGGCGAGAGATATAAAATGCAAGGAGCGCGAGGCTCCGAGTGGACCACATCTGCTTTTGAGCGCGTTTCACTGGACATCCGTACGTAATTCCACTATGTTTGCCAATTAAATTTTTTTTTATAAATTGCAGAAATTATTTTTGCAGTTACACTACGGCCTGTCGGAATGGTGCGACTATATATATATTTTTTCATAGCCGTCTCGGTGACTTTTAACCGGAAATTATATATAAG